AAAGTTAAAAAAATAACTATAAATAATAATCAATTAAAGAATTTATTTTTTTGTTTTTATTTATTTGTTTAAACATAGCTAAATATATAAATAACAAATCAGATTAATAGATAGATATCATTTTCATTTCCATTGTTTTTTTTTTTCTTTTAATATATTATTTAAAATTTCCTCATTCACCATATATTTTCAAATCACCATATATGTAAGATTATTAATTAAATCAATTTTTTTTAAACTTATTTAAATTAGCAAGTCAAAAAGATAAGATTGTTTAAAAATGTCAATGGTAATACACCAAGCCTCCAATCCGGAGTCTTTCAAACATTGTGAATGTCGCAACGCCAAGGAGCTCATTCAGATGATCCGTTCCGATGCCGTAGAGTTTGTCGAGGCCTCGTGGCCAGATGATATGGGACTCTGGTATAGCACCACCATTCGTTCCCACGAGGTTAGTCTCCAGAATCTCGTTGAAGGCATCAGATTCTACGATCAAATCCTCATGGTAGATTCCTCATCGGCTCGTCTTGACCTCACCAAGAAACACAAGACCGTATTAGTACGTTGTTCAAGTATCAGTCGTCCAATCTCTGCACCTGTTACCAGCAAATATCAACAACAACAACAAGTCGCCCCATCAACATCAAACTTTGCTGCTTCGACCGTTCAACCTTTATCACTGAACAAAGCAATGTTCTCGTTCTCATCTTCATCCACCTCGCCGTTGCCCTCGCCAACACAACGCCAACAGTTGTCGCCACGACTTGCAAACTTCAGTAATGGCTCGCCATTCCCGTCCTCCGATGACTCTTATTTCGAGTCTGCGAATGACGACGATGAGTCCTATGATGAATCAAGCTCATCCTGCGAAGAGATTGGCGATGGCGAAGTCTATAGAAGTCCACCGATGCCAACTTCAAAACTGTCATTCCTCATTGATGAGTCTGAGCGATCGTTCAAGAAACAAAAGACAACAAAGAGCAGTTCAAAGAAGGCTGCTACTCTGCAGTCTACGCAGCAGCAGCAACACCAACAACAACAACAACACATACAGCAAGCAATAGTTATCCAACCATTGTCACCAACCGCCAACTATAGTAGCTCCTCCGAGTATTCAGATCCACCCTCGTCACCGTTATCGTCAGACTCATCTTTAGGCAAACGTAAAGATGCAGACTGGTTAGAACTCCCAAAGAACCGGGTCGAGCTGGTGCCCGATCTCTCCAATCCAATGATTTTAGCAAGTAAAATGGACAGAGTAGCATCCGAAAGTGCAGGAAGTGTTCCAAACTCTGAACTATCCATCGACAATACTGAAAGATTAATTATGTAAGTTTATACTCAATGATTATTAACAAAACAAAAACATTTTCTAATACTAATAAATTAATTGTTCATATTATATAGAGAAGGACAAATTCAATTGCCACCCCTTCTTAGACCTCGTCAGTATCATGCTTGTAAAATCCCAAAGGAAGAAAGACCTTCCAAACGTAGAAAGAATCATACAACATTGTTTTGTAGACATTGTGGCACCAATGACACTCCGGAGTGGCGTAGAGGTCCAGACGGTCGTAAATCACTTTGCAACGCGTGTGGCCTCCATTATTCTAAAACTGTAAAACGAGAGAATATGACTCCACAAGCTCAAACCAAAAGATTTGATATTACAAATCTTTTAAATCCTTGTGATGTCTAAATTTAAAAACTTTGAAAATTTTATCTTTGTAAAAAGTTAACTTTTTCTTTATCTCTCACTCAACCAATCACCTCAACAAAATCATTTTTTTTTTTTGACAACTTTAATCTCAATTTGCTGTAGTATATTTTAGAAATAAATAACCATAATCAGGATTATGCAACCAGAATCCTTTTTTGAATTTTCTCCTTTTAAATAAAAATATCTTAATTTTATTTATAAATTTCATTGATATTTTTAAAATTTTATTCCATTATGATGATTTAAAGATATTCTGTTCTTTCGGTATTAATCAATTATAACTTTCAATATCTTTGAACAAACGTTAACTTTTTTTGCAACAGATATCTGTTGTTTTTGAAAAAAAACTGTCAAAAAATTTGCCTAACCACCTCTAGATGAATTGTTATTAATTTTTTTGATCTCATCAATTTTTTTCTTTTTTGAGACCTTTTTTGTGTTTCTTCTGATTTTTTTTTCATCATTTTTTAAGATATTTAAAAAATTTCGATGCAAATTTACCATTATTATTTTTTTTATTTTAATTTTTTTGTAAAAATGTATACAATTCAGGTTTGATTGTCAATTCAATTTCCCATTTACGAAAAAAATAAAAATCTAATCATTTAAATAGTTGTTATTTATATATTAGTAGTTAATAATGAAATATACATTATTATTTTTATCGACATTGGTTCTTTTGGGATCAATTCAATATATTCAATCTACCCCATTAGATGATTATGTAAATGCACCAGATGCAAGGTAATAATATTATTTGATATTTCACTTGATTTAACTATTTCGCTTAATAATCAATCTAATAATAATATTTTTATTTGTTATAGCTATAAATGGACTTTAAATAACACAATTCATGCCACCACATATACTGCCTTTATTTTAGAATTGAGTATGGCTTTTTTTTTCCTTTTCTTTTTTTTTTTTTTTAAATCTTAATTTTATATTTTTATATTAATTAACAAACTTTAATATAATTTAGCATCACAAACATGGATGACTACAGCTGAATCAGATTGGCCAGTTTGGAAGCATTGGTTATCAATGTAAGTAAAACAAAAATGTTACATATTCAATTACAATATATAATGGAAAGTTTGTTAACAATCTATTTAAATTTCATATAGTTGTGTTCCAAATGAATATAGTTCAAGTACTGCTTTTATGTATGTAGATGGTGGTCATAACACTAACTGGCAAACTCCAAACAGTGTCGACAGTACCAGTATGTATTATCAAAAAAAAAAAAAATGTTATGTTATAGTTTGCTCAATATTTATATGTAAATAATATTATAGTTGAAATTGCATGTCTTGCTTCAAAGGGAATCACTGTTGGTCTCACTCAAATTCCAAATCAACCAATTATGTTCTTTAATGATGGTGTTGGTCGTTCTGAAGATGCATTAATTGCTTACACTGTTTGTATTAATAACAAATTATATTAATTATTCATTCATTTTTATTCTAATTTTTGATAAATTATTTTTGTAGTGGAGACATTTCTTGAATAACACTGAAGATCCAGTCTGGTTAGCAAGATTACCAATGACCAAAGCTGTTGTCAAGGCTATGGATGCAGTTCAAGAGTTTGGTAAGACTATTCCATACGATGTTCAAAACTTTGTTGTTGCTGGTGCATCCAAGAGAGGTTGGACCACTTGGACTACTGCTGCAGTCGACTCTAGAGTTGTTGTTGCCGTTCCAATTGTCATGCCAATTTTAGATATGGTTCCAAATATGGGACACCAATGGCAAGCCTATGGTAACTGGTCATTCGCTATGCAAGACTATTTGGATCAAGGTATCATGGCTTATCTCAACACCCCAGAGATGGAGCAACTCGCTGCTATTGTCGATCCATACAGCTACATCGATCGTCTCACAATGCCAAAATACGTCGTTTGCTCGACTGGCGATGAATTCTTCTTGCCAGACTCACCATCTTTCTTCTTCTCACAATTGTTGGGTGAGAAACACTTGCGTTTGGTCCCAAATGCCGAACACAGTTTAATTGGACACCAATTGGATATTATCATGGGTATCGTCACAATGAGTCGTCTTTACATCCAAAACCAAACTCGTCCAGAGTTTGATTACAACATTGCCTTCAACTCGAACGGTACTGCCACCATCACCTTGACCGTTCAACCAGGTACCAAAACACCCTACAAGGTCAAGTCATGGGAAGCCATCACCGAGTCTGCAGAGCGTCGTGACTTCCGTTTGATCACCTGTATGGATCCAACCAAGTGCATCCAACCAATCCTCTGGAAGCCAGAGACCCTGACCGGTGTCAACGGAGTGTACACCGCAACCATGGGAGCTCCAACAGTTGGTTGGAGAGGATTCTTCTTGGAAGCCGAATACGTTTACGAAAACCCATTCGAGGCTGAATACACCATGAAATACACCTCTGAAGTCGCTATTGTACCAAACACCTTACCATTCCCACCATGTGGAAACAATTGTCAAGTAAGCTAACATATTGTACTATCAAATCATTTTTTTTATTTACTAACAAATTCTTTATATCTTTTATTATTTACCTATTTTTACAGCCATATGGTAATAAAATTTAAAAAAAAAAAACAAATCCAAAAATAAATAAATTTAGTAACAAATAGACTAATGTTTTATCCTTCAAATCAAAATTCATTATCCACAACAAAGAGAGTTGTTTCAAACAATTTTAATTTTTTTTTTATTCCAAAAGAAGTATTTGAGCACAACCTTCGATTGACAAAAGTATCGAATAAAAATTTGATAATGATTTTTTTTATTTATTTGTATATTTATCAAATCCCAATTTTTTTTTCCTATTAACTTTTTAAGGTCCGATACAAGAACTCAAAAAGTATTGGTACAAAAAAATTTTTTAAACGAATTGATTATTACGTGGGTTGGTTTTTTTTTTTTTTTTTTTTTTTACATACTAAGCTCCGTTACTCCGTTATAAAACCCACATTTTTTTTATTAACATCTCATTAAAATTTAATACCCTTTTTAGGCGACAACAAACAAAAAGTAAACAACAAAATTATGCTATTCAATATAAATCTTAAATAAAGATATTCATAAAAAAGTTTTGCTTATTTCTTGTTTATCTCATAACACATATAAATTTAAATTAATTCCTCATTGAATCAAAAATAAAATATTATAATTATTTTTAATAAATAAAATAGAATATAAAAAGTCAATAAATAATAGCTACCTAGAAAATTAAATTAACAAAAAGAAGAAAAAAAAAGTATGGTATAACTAAAAAATAAATAATCAATTAAAGAAAATATTAAAATAAAAATAACTATAATTTAAATCTATTTTTATTTTTATTTTTTTTAAATTTAGAATTGTTCAAAAAGTACTCTAGAACTGATTTATTTATTTTATTTTTATTTATTATTTTTTTTTTTTTTACAGTTTATATATTTTATTTGTATTTTTATAATAATTAATTTAATAGATAAATTAGTTGATAGTTGTATCAGTTTCAATAGTATAGTTAATAATTAGTAGATATGAGTGGAGCCGATGCACAACCACATATTGGTGTATTGCCAAAACCAGGGACAGATGTAGTACTGTTGAATGACCAGTTAGCTATCATCAAAGATTGTAATTATAGATTGGTCAATTCGATTACAGGTGCCGAATCTATCCAAAAGGAGAAGGATTCCATCAATGTAAATGAACCGGTCAAGGGATACGACCATCTCTTGAGAAAGATTAGTCGCTTGCAATACTACATCTCCATAGAGTCAGAAGATTTGATCAATTCCATCGAGCGATTGGAGAGTCTAGAGATTCACGGTCATATCAAGCACAGAAGAAAGGAGAGAAGATTAAAGAAGAGAACAGAGTCATTGGCTGCGTTGTCTGCTGCCGCCGCACACTGTAAGGATGCACCGTCCACCCAACAACACGACGTAGCAGCAACATCAAGAACTACCACCACCACACAGCATGAGCACCAACACGAGAGTGCACATGGCCTAAAGGTTAGCAACGAACCAAAGACCCACCACCATCTCGAGCCGGAAGACTTGGATGCCACCGTCCAAGATTCCAGTGAATCTTCCGATTCCTCGTCGGATTCGTCCGAGAGTGACGAGGAGATCAAATTCGGACCAAGAAAATTAAGAAAATTCAGAAAGTTGCTCTTGGGAAAGATAGAGTGTCTCATCAACTATCTCGATAAAATGTCAAAAGAACTCTCAGAGATGAAGGATAGAGCGTTCGAGAGAAAGAAGATCATGCCACACATCCCATGGGATCTCTCATTGAAAGACAGTTTCGACCTACAATCACCAGAGGTCAGAAGAATGATCAATTCTCCACCACCTCCAGCACCACAAGCCACAACAACAACAACTACTACTACAACTACAACTAACAACAACAACAACAGCCTTGTCAACAATAATCCAGCGGTACTTCACAGTCACAATGGAGCACCATGCACCAACGCTGCACATCTCCATATCCCACATACTCATGTCAAAGCCATTTCACCATTGACAGAGTCCATCAATAACACTCGTATGCTTTCACCAATTACACCATCGATTGACCTGAGAGCAAGCCACGAGAGATGTTGCTCACCAGCATTCAATGAGCGTTTTAAGAATTTAAATATACAATCACCACAGGAGATCTTCCAAGTTGACAATATACAGTATGCTGATGAAGATGATTTTGACAATCAAACCTACACCAAATCACCATCAACACCAGTTCAACAATTAAATCAATACCGTCAAAGAAAGAAGGAAGATAAACAACATTCTTAAATTATCAATTTTATGCAAAAATAAAAAAAGTGTTTGTTACAACTATTCCATAACAATTTTAAATCTTTATTAATAATCTCAAAACAAATTTATTAACTCAGTAAAAATAATAAAGAACTTTTAAATTTTTTGAAAATTATATTTATATATTTTATATATATTTATCTAATATATATCTATTTTTTTTTACTTTTTTTCATTTTAATTATTATTTTTTTTAAATAGTATTAAAAAAATTTTGTTGTTGTTGTTGCTGTTGTTGTTGTTGTTGTTGTGATTCTCGTAACAAAGAGTTTAATGATGGTGATTGAGCCAATTGTTGATGTAGTTCTTCAGATGGAATCACTGTGATTGGAGGTCCTCCAAAGCTCTCTTCATATCTTACTTTGCATTCAAGAGCGGTTCTTGGAATCTTGGTTTGACGTCCTCTAGCCATTCCCTTGGAAACTTCCATCCAATTAATTTCACGACCTTCAATCTTGTTCTCTTGGATCTTCTTGTGGAGAATCTCATCTTCTCTCTGCGACCATTTGACTTCACGAGACATACATGACTTGAAGTATTGATATCTACATTGAATATCGGTTCTTGTTCGGATTTCCGATGCAACATTCTTCCAACTTTGACCATGTTTCTCTACCAAACTAAACAGCTTTGATTCTTCATCTTCATCCCAACTACCCTTTCTAATTGCTGGACAAAGGACTCTCTTCCAATGTTGGGCACACTGAGCACCAGTTTTACCTCCACCAATTTGATGAGCAATCTTCTTCCATTGCTTATCACCATGTTCATGAACCAATTGAATCAATCTCTGAGATTCTTCCTTTGTCCATTTATTTGGTGGATTTCTAAGTCCTCTACTAACACTTTTTCTTACTCTTTCTCTTTTCTAAAAATAATAAATAAATTAATTAATAAAAAGAAAATTTTTTAAAAAAACAACAATTGTTTTTCATCAACTTACCTTTTTTTGAGAAGATTCATCTGGCTCATTTAATTCCAATGCTTTAACATCAATAGTGATTTCATTCTCCTCGACACCATTATCTTTTAAAAAGTTGACCATCTTTTGACTTGGTTCAATCGATAGGAATAAATCTACCATATATTGGAAAATTGATTTGTAGTTGTTGTCAAACACTGGAATAATTCTTAAATCTAATAATAGATTTCTAAATGAAATATCTTCGTTTAGATATTCAGAGATTGTATTGAAAAGTTGGTCTCTGGAATGATTATCCATGTATCCATAGAGAACTGGTGAAAGGAAGTCACGTAAATGATCTTCTGAATCATCGTCCATTAATTCCATGGATGGAGGAGATTCAATTCCACCCATTAAAGACGGAGAGAATGGAATACCTTCATGTGAATTATATAGAGTTGGAGAAGTATGTTGGGGTACAACCATTTCATTGTTTGAGTTGTTTGGGTTAAAGTATGGAGAGTTGGAGATCATGGTTGGAGTAGGTGGCGAAGCGATCATCGATAAACTGTAGGGTCTTTTTCTTGGAGAGGGAGAGCTAATACTGAAACCCTCTGGGACCCTGAAATCTGGTTGGGATGGCGCTGGAGAACCAATATGTTGAATTTGTTGGATTGGAACTTGATTGTTGCCATTGTGTACTATTTGTTGGAAGCCATTCGTATATGGTGAATTTGGCACTCCACAATAATTATTATAATATGGACTGACAGGGTAAACAGAAGGATTAATCATTGTTAACATTTTTATAGAGGTCTTTTGTTTTTTATATTTTGTTTAGGAAAATTAAATTATTATTATTAATTGGAATTGGTGAATAGGGTGATTTATTTGTGTAATGATTTGGTTTTTTTTGGTTGTTCTGATGAAAATACGAATTGATGGATTCGAAAATCTCAACTTATCAAATAGATAGAGAAAAAAGAATTAAATAAATATGAATAAATTAAATAAATAAATAGATTTATAAAATGAATGGTCAATATAATTTGGTTTGATTCAATTTATATTTTACAAGGTTGGTCATCACAATTTATGATTAGGATGAAAGGTCACAAAGGATTGCTGACATATTTATAGTGATTAATATTTTAATTAAAAATAAAAAAAAATAAAATTACGGTGCTGATTATTTTAATCGATGTATTAAAATGCTATTCATAAATCTTATTTCCAAATCCGAAAATAAATTCACAATCACACGCACTCACACACCATGTGATATTTGTGTTTGATCTTATGATGATGTGAGAAGTGTGGTTTTATTGTTGTTGAGTATGATGTTGATTTTGTGGGGAATTCCAACATATATGTATATATAAATACATACAATCAGTATTTATTTATTTTATTCGACATTAAATTTTATTAGTATGATTTTTAATTTTGTGTGGTAAATCAATATGAGATATTGATTGTGATTTTCTTTTCCTGTCTGGCATATCAACCATAATGATTTTTTATCAAGATCTTGATAAAAAAACAATTGTGGTTACTAAACAGATTTTTATTTAGTTATATGGTAGAATATTTTTATATTAGCATAGTATTGGTATTATACTTATCACAATTTAGTATCCAAAGTATAAACTCCGGTTTAGTGAATGGGTATGTACGCGCATATTGGAACCATTGATCATGATGTGGTGTGTTTGAATTCTCCGAATATTAATGTTATTCAATTATATAGTTGTTATTTTGTTTAATTAATTATTTGTGTTTGGGAAAATAGCCTATACTCTGTCACTGTGAACTTTATTTATAATCAGAATTATCTTTATAACCCTATCTTTCATACTGTCAATAGATTTATTTGTTCAGTTAATTACCGATTTCAAACTATAGTGACTGTCTATATTTTAAACATTATTGACATCACTTGTATACAGTCATACCTCTAAAATGATCATTAAAATAACTTATGTTCTTTTTTTTTGTTTAATTCATTAGTATTTAATAAGAATAAACAATTGATTATTAAATTAAACAATGTTAATTGTGTGTGAGTGTGTGTTTATATAAATATATTCATACATGTATTATTATTATTATTAATATCAATTTTCGAATTGTGTTTATTGGATTCGAGCCACAAGTGCATTCGAAACATCGACAGGCAATAATGGGATATATTGATATCTTGTTTTACTATGCACACCAATATATATTTACATACCCTATAATATTTTTAAATTTGATTATCTTGATCAAATTTACCCAATATGGAAGTGTTGTTTTGGGTAACTATTGATGGTTGTCCAGTCATTTGAACCATGATGTAATCTTTGTAGTTTGACAAAGAAAATTTTCGCATTTCATCATCACCAACACACTTCAACACCACATTTGTCTGTCAACAGGAATGCTATCACTCACTTCATTCATAATGATCACACTCGCATTCCTGATATTAATCAACACATTAAATTCATACTTGCTATTCAGACAACCACCACAATACAATTGAAACTAATTCACTAGAGTGATAGGCTAATTCCTCTCTTTCTCCTTTGGTGGTTCTACAAATTTATATTCCATTTTATTTAGTATTAAAATTTGTTGTTAATTTAAATTATATTATTGCTTTATGGAATTATATTTTGATAATGAGCACACTACTTACTACAACATAATAAAATATAACAATTAAATACACACCAATTAAATTTAATTTTTATAATAATAATTTACACACAACAGATTAATGAATAGATTGTGATAAAGATGGTAAATTAATATGGTAAGGTGACCGATATAGAGAATAAATATTGATTGTTCCAAGTTTGTTTGAGATATTAATATAAATAATACAACTTGTTATAAATATATATATATATATGTTTTTTGGATATTTATTTATGGAGACCAGTCGTATCCTCTTTCATAGTCTTCATCGAAAAGAGTGCTGTAGATGGATGTTACGCCTGAGTCTTGCATCTTAATGGTGAAATCACGATTTGTCTTACGCCATTGTGATGGATCTTGATCGTAGGGAGGGAATGTTTGTGATCCCGATGGATAGTCAGTGTCACCCCAGTTTCCAGTGGAAACGTAGACACGGTCATCGTCGAGAATCCAGAATTTCTGGTGAGAGTAAGTGTACATGTTGGCGTTGGTCTTTCTAATGGTGATACCGGCGGCATTGAGGTGTTTGTAGCAGGCCAATGCACTAAGATAGTCGGTGTACGAGAAGATCTTGTTGGAAACCAAGATGGTGAGCTTACCAGTGTAGTTACCGAGGAGATCACACCAGTCAGAGTTGGTAATCTGGTAGATGTATACCTTGAGTGTCTTTGAGTTGTGGATGTCAGAGGTGACGATATCCCAAGCGTTGTCTGGCGAGGTGAATACCAAAGCATTAATATCTCCAGTGGTGGTTTGGGCAGTGGTGACAAAGCTTCCCGGGAAACTGGTTGCTGGTGGAATTACAACATCGATATTTGATTTATCTTTGATAATCTTCATGTCTGAAGATGAGTAGGTAAGAGTTGGCCATGCAATACCCATATTCCAATCATATTCGAAAACAGATGTAGTGAAATCTACGATAGGTGGTGCACCTTCAACAATAACACTAGGAAAAAAATAGAATTGAAAATTAATATCTATAGACAAGCTGATATAAATGATATTATAAAAATTACTTACCCAGCTTCTCTGTTCTTCATGAACGAAGTCTTACTGTAGTTAATCGATGAGATAGAAACGATCTTACCGTCGATACTCATGTACTTGGAGTGGAGGAAAGTGAGAGTAGTGAAATATTTAACTTGAGCACCAGCAACAGCCAAGAAACTGATTGGATCGATGTATCCGGTGGTCAAGGTTTGGTTTTGACTATAGTAGTTATTGGTGAGGATTCTAACAGTAACACCACGGTGAATGGCATTCAAGAGTGCATTGAAAATTGGGAAAGTCTCTGTAGTTCTTTGATCCTTAACAGTGCAACCATAGACACCGTTATAAGTCGATGAACAATATGCCCATGAACTGAAACTTGGGATGGCAATATCGATTGAACTTACAGCGTTCTTCGAGATAATAAAAAAAAATAAGAAAATTGTTAATAACTATCGATTGAAACATTGTTGTTAGCGGTTAACACTTTTTAAATTGCTTACAATAACCAAATTAGTTTCAGTTTGAATGGATGTATCTGGTGAAAAATAAGTTGTCACTGAAAGTGGTCCGATATCTGCAGATGAGGTGAATGAAGCAACATATGTAGTATTTTGCTATTGATTTATAGAATCGGTTTGTTAATATGAATTTTTTTTTTTATATAACGAACTTTGGAGATATATAATGACATACGAAATCTTGTGATAATACTAAATTGATGCTCAAAGCAGCAATTATAGCAAAAGAAACTGATAAATATCGAAGAGATACCATTTCTTTATTTCTGTTTCGAGAAAAGATACAACAAAATCTAAAGTAATAATACAACTAACTAACTAATTGATATTATTATTGTCAATCTCTTAGGAATCAAAGCTGACTGTTGGTGATTGGTTTTTTTTTTGTTTTTGCTTAGGAACCAAATAAATATAAACTAACATCCAGATTAAGAAATAGTACAAAATCAAAAATCTAAAAACACAAAATAAAAATAAAATAATAAAAAAAATAAAAATAAAATTTGCGATTTACAAGTTTTCAAATTCAAAGTGGTGCAAGCATCTCTTGTCAGGGGTATCCCAATACACGAGTGGACTTTTATCCTAATCTTACTATGTCTTAAAATTTCTTTTTTTTTTTTACAAAATTTTGATCTTTTTTTTCGAAATAAATATCATGATTCCCAGTACGAGCACAAATATGATCACAACAAAAAACAATTAAATTTCATATCTTTAGTGGGTTTATTTTCGTGCCAGTGTGTATGATCTTCGGATTTATTATGTTGACGATTATGTTTGTTTGCATTAAGATAATTAAAAGATTAATTGTAAATAAAAATAAAAAGTAAAAACTATTGGGAAAGAAAATCTTTGTGATTCTACTTTCTTTCATATCTACAAAATTTTATTAATTATCATTGGATATTATTATTATTATTGTTGTTGTTGTTGTTGGTGTGCACCAATAACCGGTTACAGATTGAATAATATTATCATATGTTTATTAATCTATAGATTCATAGTTGTCTCTGATTTGATAGTAGGTTTTGATTACTTTCGACAGGAATATTATTAGGACGATTGCAGCCGCTAGAACAAATAGGAGAACCCAAATCGGGAGAGAGTTGTCCGGTGGGATATTGAAGGGTGCTGGCAATTTGTAAAAGTAGATCGATGAGCTGTTGGTAGAGAGCAATACAACCGATGAACGCTTAGAGTAGGTAGAGCTAACACCAATCTGATGGTTGGCAAGCAGGTCGGCGTCAAGCGGTTCGTCACCAGGATTGTTTAGATTGTAGAGAAGTATGTCACTTCCCAATGCAAAGAGCGCGTGGAATCCTGTTGAGCCAACAGCACCACTGTCAACGCCATCCGAAGCGGAAGTAGTCGAATCAACAACAGATAGCTTAGTTGAGGTTATTACTGTGATAGATGATGTTAGTTTGCCATCTTCTGTTAGCTGTAGTGATATCAAATGATTGCTTTCAGAGTTTGCAGCACCGCCTCTGCCGCTACCACCTATAAACACCAATGAGCTCGATGACTTTGTCATTGACATGATTGAATCGCCATCGGTGTAGTTAAACAACGATAGCAAGCTAAAATCCGACAAAGATAGTTGTAGAATCAAACCTTTATCTGAAAGACATCCAAGGAATATACTTCCATCTTTTCCGTTTACCTGCAGAGTAGAAGGATCGTATTCAACTGACAATGCAAACAAACAATAATCAGGGTATAAATACTATAATAATAATAATAATTATTAAATTAATTTATATTAATTCAATTAGTATGAACTGTTTGTTTAAAATGTTTATTTATACTTATACATACAGAATCTATTATATAGAATTTATGATTGATTGGGTCACTTTGAATTTTATAGATATTGTTGGATGTGAATAGGTAGATGATACCATCGTTATCCAAAAACAAAGATTTATCAATGAATGGAATGCCACTTTGGTCTGACAGATCGATGGAGCTGAGAATTCTAAATGATTTATCTTGCATCTTTAGAAGAGTGATAGAGTTATTATTATTGTAATTACTATAGGCATAGTAAAGATATCCATTCTTTTCATCCAAGTACCCGGTGGTCTTTACTTGTTCTACAACTTGACCACCAACCAAAGGTATCGAGTTTATCAACATAACACTATTTACGATATCTCTAGTTGATATTTTAATTCTATATAAACAACCATCATTGCTAGATGCCAATACATGATCCAGAGCATTTCCTGGATGGATTTTACAATAATTTGTTTTATTTAAATGCAAAACACCTAAAAAGTTATTATAATTAGTAATATAAAATAAACTACAACACAATAAAATTTACCAATATTAAATTCTCCATTTATAAAATTTGAACAAATATATAAAAATAAAAATATAAAAGATATTTTTTTGAACATAATCTAATCTTTGAACAACAACAACAGAGTTATAACTTATATTGTTGTTTATTATTTAAGAAATCACTTTGTATTGATATTAGTAACATTTCTTTTGTTTAATCAAATAAACAATCATTTTATTTTTATGACAACCAATCAAAACATAGTTATCAACATCAAAATATATATTTTGATTGGTCGTTTATTAAAAATGTTAGAAGTTGTGTTGTGTTGTTTGGGTGTTTTGTTTAAATCTCTATTATTTATTTGTTTGTTTAAATAACAATGATATTATTTTATTCAAATATTTAATTAATTGTTAGAATGTGGATTTGAAATGGATGATGAGGTTGTAAATGATTCATCATGATTTAAATTTAAATCTAGTACGTCTATCAGGTTTTCATTGAGATCGGAAAGCTCTTTGAGCATTGGAATATGTCTGTATTTCGCTACTACAAAGCCAATCGATTTCAATATATCCAATTCTCTTTCTGCTTTCAAGATTGAATCTTCATTGGTCTTACAGTAGATGAATGCCAGTAATTTCAATGATTCCTTTATAAGTTGTATAGAACTATCTGATGATGATGGTGATGATATATTATTATTATTATTATTATTTAATATCTGTTGTTCTATAATATTATTATTATTGTTATTATACTTTAATAACTCTGATTTTGAGACATCGCTAATGATATCGATATACTCTGATTGATACAAAAGAATAGTACCTTGTAGCAACACATCTCTGAATGTAATGAAGCTATTGTTGTGATTTACTACTACCTTGTTCAACACTTTGATAGCAGAGAGTCTTAATCTTCTTGACTATAGGTTATTTAATAATATAAAATATTAATATTTACGATATAGTGGTTGTAGTTGAGCATAATTATATACATACTAAATTCTTATCATTAAATTTCTGTTTGGCCATAAAGATAATGATTCTCTCAATAAGACAGTGTTCGAAATTATCATCTTTGAATGGTTTCTGTGAGTATTCGTAGAGTTGTTGATCTGATATCGTTGATTCTATTAAACCTAGGTATGATTCTTTCAAGTCGAGAGACTGTGATTGGAATACACTAGTAATAATAGGTTGTTGATAAAATGGTAGGAATCTAGATATTGTTAATTGAATATTATTAGTATTTTTGCCATTTTACTTTAAAAGAAAGAATAGTACATACACTCCATAAGATCTATTTAAGATACTAAATTCATTGGCAACCAACATTGAAATTCTACATATCTTTGTTAATAATATAGGTTCAGGTTGGAATCTCTTTGATAAATTCTCTAAAAGATATGAAAGTATATCACAGTTTGTAGAGGGCATATTCATATTATTATTATTATCAGATTGTGTTGGTGTTATTGTTGGATCATTATTATTATTATTGTTGTTTGTTGTATTTGTCGATGGTTGTATAAATGTACATAGTCTACTACTTTTAAAGTTATTAAGTTGGTATATAGTTATTGACTGATTGTTATTGGTTTTCAAAGTAAAGGACTTATTCTTTTTGTTGTTATTATTACTATTATTACAATTATTATTATTATTCTGTTGGCTTGGTTGTTGTTGTTGTTGCTGTTGATTATATTTTAAGAATTGTTCTCTACATTCACTGCAAGATGTTAATAATATATAAATTACATCCAATGCTTTATCAACTAAAAATAACTATAAAAGGATAGAAAGAAAATGGTCAATATAATAATAATAATAATAGTGTTATAATTATATATAGATATATTTGTTATTATACTAACATTTGTCATCTTTAAAAAAGGTAATAGTTTAAATAATAGTGTGCTACAAGGTTGTTGCATTGACATGACAAACGATAATGACTTGGCCAACTCTTCACTTGCTTGCTCTATAGCTTGTAGTGATGTAGCTTGATTATCTATATCCATTGGATCTAGATTCTCATTTAATAATGTCAATTCTTGATTATTACCATTGTTATTGATGGATATTGAAGTTGTACTTTGTGATTGTTTAATTGGCTGTGGAAGTAACTGTAGTTGTGGTGGTGGTGGTGGTGGTGGTAATTGTTGTAATAACACTTTAGGTGAATTTTCAAGATCTATTACAACTGGTTGTTGGTCGATGATCGTTGAGTTACCAGTGCCCGGTTGTTTCGATGCCAATTGGTGATGTTTGTTGTCGTGTGCTGTGGATGTCGGTGTTTTCACTGGTTGCGGCAAAGACTTTGGTCTGCTTGCAGAAGTAGTTGACTTTTGTGAAGAGAGTGAATTCGAAAGTAGATTGGCAGTGGCAGACACTGGTGGCAACACAAGAGAAGACGACGACAAACTTCCAATCGAATTTCCACCCATTGAGCTAGTCAATGGTAGATGTAGCTTGTTCTGAACATTTGGTGGTATCAAATACAATATACTTGGTTTACCATCAACAATATTTGTCATTAATCTACATAATATATGTGTAGTATTATTCTTTTCATTATTATTATTATTTGACCAATCAATCTTATTATTACTTTTACGACTACTATTATTATTGTTTGTTGTTGTGGTATTTTGTTGTTGTTCTGTTTTTTGTTTCTTTTTAACTTCATTTAGTTCAGCAACGATAGTTTCTCTTTGTCTCTTCTCAGTTGCCATCTTTTCTTTCTCTTTTTCTCTTTCTTTCTCTCTGTGTAGTTCTCTCTCGTTCTCACGATCTCTTTCCAATGCACGTTCTTTCTCACGAGCCATCTCAGCTTCCTTTTCTTTTGTTGCATTGATTCGCATATGATGCAACATCTTTTCCTTCTCTTGAAGTGATCTGTCTCTGTCGGCCAACGACTTTTTCAATTCTTCCAACTCATCTCTCATCGACTTTAATGCTAAATCATGTTGAGTGATGTGAATTGTCTCTTCCTCCATTGCTTTACCACCATCATTATATAAAGTCAATTGATTATGATCATTCTGTTGTAGTTGTGGTGGTGGTGCTGCTTTCTGTTGTTTACCATGTAAAACACTGATATCCAATGACATACTTGTATCGATATCATCAAAATTACTAAATAAATCATCATCCTCTATATTATTTGATGGTGGAGGTAATGTTGATACATTTGATGAATTCAATGATTGCTGATGCTGCTGCTGCTGTTGTTGTTGTTGTTGCTGATAATGTTGTTGTTGTTGTTGGTGATGTTGATGTTGTTGTTGTGGTTGTTGTTTAGTTAAATGTTGCATTGGTAATAATTTAGCTTGAGGTTTAAATGGTGGTGGTAATGAAATCGATGTATTTGAATTCACTGATGGTTTAAAAGGTTGTTGTTGCTGTTGTCCATTTATATGACCTGCAAAGCTTGGTGTCTGTACGAATCCTGAGTTATCATATTGAGAATGATTCGATTGTTGTTGTAAATTGTTTTGTTGATGGTATTGTTGTTGTTGTAGTAAATTGTTTTGTTGATGATTCTGTTGTTGTTGTTGATGTTGATGTTGATGTTGATGCAGATATGATTGTTGATTAGTTATTAAAGTAGAAGCAGGTTTCTTTGATTGAAATGGTGGTTTCAAAAGTGGTGAACCAACTATCTTTGTGCTCGGCCTAAATAGATTTGCGTTGGCTGACATAGATGAACCAACATTGTTCATCACCGATGTATTGCTTGTGGGCAATCTGTTCTGAAGGTTTATTCTATTACCAATACTATTGCTATTGTTATTTATGATATTGTGTTGTTGTATCTGTGGTGCTGCCGCTTGTTTCATAGGTATTCCAATTCCACCAACAACATTATTATTAAATCTCTAAAATGTGTTTGCATAAATTATTATTAGTTTCTTTAGATTCTTCATATTCATCTTTAAATTTGTATTTACCTGTTTGTTTGCATCGTATTGTTGTTGTTGCTGTTGTTGCTGTTGTTGCTGTTGTTGTTGATGTATCGGTGTGAGAAAGCTATCATCATTATTAAAAGTAAAAGAATTAATAAACAATTTTAATCAATAAAATAAATAAAAGATTAATTTATACTTACTTTGTTTGTCTACTTGTCATATGTATCATTTGAATTGCTCTGTTATTATTATGAATAATTCAGAGGCAAAAATCAAAGTTAGTTTTAATTAATTAACACTCTGATTTAAAAATTTTCCAATAAAAATGTGATTTTCAAAAAAAATAAAAAGACATTTTTAAAAATTGTGAGAAGTTATTTTTCCTCACTAAACTCAAAGTATTATTTATTGCCTGCTAGCACAACGATACAATTACTAGTTATTTTGTTCAAGGAGATTTAACCATGAACATCAACAAAAATTAAATCTTAATTTTTATTTTTTATTTTTTTATTTCTATTTATTTTGTAGAATGATAATACAAATGAAGAGAAATTTGAATGTATTTGAATGTATGTGTATCAGATAAGCAAGCACATGAAATCTGCTTGATAGGAATAATGGCAGTTTGCGGTATAAAAATGGTTGTGCACAAAAAGGACCAATGATAGTGTGTAAAATGATAATTTATTTATATTTATATTTGTTTTCATTTTTTAAAATCATCAAATTGCTTACATTGTCATATCTTCATCGATATTATTGTTATTGAGAATTAGAGGAGTGTAGATATGAGATTGTTTTGTTGAATATTGGCTAGCGAAATTCTTTTCAAATTTGTGCTGATCTATCAGATGTTCAACTCTATCATTTTCATTCCAGAAAAAAGTTTCGCACTACAAAACATTCTAACTGTGTAATTGATAAAATAGTAAGTTTATTTTCTTAAATAAAATATAAAAATATTATTACCATCTTTTTTTTTTGTTTTAATGTATTGAATAGAGTGTCGTGTGTCTCTAAGAGATGACAATCTAACCATCGGTAGGTAGGGAATGATTGTAAGCATATCTCACACATATTCTTGTGCACTGTTGTAATGATTGGAAAACGACGCAATAGGGTCAAATTCTACACCATTGCACAAACCAAATTCACATTTGATCGTACTTTTGCTATTTTCAAGATCATAATCAATCATCTTGATTTCATTGATATCGTTTTGATTTGCATTGACATGATCTATTGTTTGTTTGATAAGCTCATTATTCATTATACATCTTTGTTTGCCTCCCAAGTGTCTACCAATATTTATATCATTATAGAATGGATGATCGCTATCATATTTATGTATTTGTTTTCTATATATGTTTATAGATTTCATAAGAAAAAAAAAATAACAATTCCACTGTTTAAACAACATTGTTATTTTTTTTAAAAGATTGTAAGATAAATTATATCATATTGTTTCATTTAAATAGAAATAGATTCGTTGGAAAATTGTTAAGTGGAGTTGAATAGGTTGAATTTTCTAGATTCGATCAAAAAAAAAAAAAAAAAAAACAAGACGAAATAAAACGAGATTAAAAAATTTTTCTTCACAACAAAAAAGCTTCTGTGGCTCAGTAGGCAGAGCATTCGGCTGTTAACCGAATGGTCGTTGGTTCGATCCCAACCAGGAGCGATCATTTTTAAAGGTTCTGACCGCATGCGGTCGCACCTTGTTTTTTTTTTATAATAACTAAAGTGGTATACATGTTTTATTAAAAGTTGTATTAAAAGGATGGATTTACCATCAAGTTTTTTTCGTAGTCTATTTTTTTTCTTTTTAGTTGTTGGTTGATTTAATTAATTAGTTGGCAGGTTGGGAAGAGAGTTAATTTCATTTACTTGATTAGTTGGCTGGTGTTGGAGTGTTGTTTATTAATTTTAGAATGTTTCTGTGGATATCGAAGTCGGATATAATAGATTGGTTGGAGAAATCGAGTATTTTGTCATCTTGACTGAATAGAATTGAACTGACATGTTTCCAAATGTTGTGGTAGATGATCGCTGTTAGGTCTGATGATTCATCGCAGAGGTAGAAGTGAGTAGTAGATTTTTCCAGTGACCATTCGTCTTCGTAGTTGGCAATTTGTAGATGTTGTGTGATGTGTTTGAGGTTGAATTTGTTTAGGATGACTCGACAATTAAAGAAATAATGTGTGTGTGGGTCAAAGTCATTTGCTGAACATAGTTTACAACTGTCTTGTTTGATGTATGCCATACCAGGAAGTGATCTTGAGAAGAATCTGAATACTGTGTTTCTACCTCTGTGGTGTTTGATTGAGTTAATGTAGTAGAAGATGTTTCGGGTTGATGTAAAGTCTATTTTGGTGGGGGGAAGAGATAGTTGGAATTGACCTGATGTAAGTACTGGTTTGTGGTGATGGTTGATAAGGTTGTGGTATATGAGTTTAAGTGGTAGTGGTTCGTCATTACGCAATATTGGTTTCATTTGATGTGGAGGTAATTTCATAATTGGTCTAAAGTGTTGCCAAAGAAGGATGGAATGTTTGAGTGTAGGTGAGGTTATCTTGTTATGTCTAATTTGGTTACGCCAGCTTTGGTAGTATGGGGAATAGACATCTTGATTTGCAATTACTCTATTTAGTATCCAAATGTGTTGAGCGTCATTTCGTAGTTTCATATCCCACAATGATATGCCACCATTTTTCCAATGATGTACTGCTCTGGAGAGTGTCATTGTATTCTTAAATGATTTTGCATCTTCGAAAGGTCTGAGATTGGATGACCATAGGAACCAAGTGATTATTTTGTTGAGTGATTTGATATCTGATTCTGTGAATTTGTCAAGGTACATGTGGTAAGAGAGTTTTGATAGTGTGTATGACTTGAGTATTGACATTTTAGTCCTTAGGGTTGTGCCAAACTTCTTCCATTTGATCAGTGATGATTTAACTTCGCTGACTATTGATGA